TTTCAGCTCCTTCAAATAACCTCTGTATTGAATTGATAAAGCCACTGATTGGTGAAATGTCTTAAGAATAAAATTCTCCAGGTGTTGTACATGCGTCTTATTCATCAAAGGCTTTCGAAGAAATTTTAAAGTTGGGAATTGCTATACATGTGTAGTATTTGTCTTGACAAGTTACTATTATGCTTTATTTTCAGAAACTTTCTGAGGAAAAATCCACTTATGCTGTACATGTATTCATGCATACTGTACTTGTGTACCCATACTTAAAATACCTTAAAGATATATTAGATTTTTTATTATCAAGTAAGAACTCCTTAATCCTTTCTTGAGTTAGGTATTACAATAATATAATAATATATTTTTATTTACTAAAAGTACATGTACAAGGTATACAGGCCTAGCTAACATCAATGACGTACTACTATATAGAAAGCCACTTGTTATGATGAGCATTTCAGGCAAATTAGGTCAGTTTTGTCCCAGGATGTGACCCACACCAGTTCACTAACACCCAGGTACCCATTTTACTGATGAGTGAACAGGGACAGCAGGTGTCTTATGGAAATACTCCCTAATGTTTTCCAATCTTACTGGAGGAGATTCGAACCCCGGACCTCAGTGTGTGAGCTGAGTACACTAGCTTTTTTTTTTTTTTTTTTTTGTTAGGGAGAACATGAATTAAAAAAAGAGATGCAAATTTTAAATATTGTATACAGTGAACTCACATTAAGTTGTAATAAACAACTATCAATGAATAAACAGAAAGATGGATGAGAGACTTGAACCTTGGTCCATAAATTGACAGTCCAGTGCTCGCTCTGCTGTCTCAGTCATTGGGCTTCTAATACTGTATTACAATGGACCATTGGTTATCGGCCGTTCCACTTATCAGCCAACTCGGTTATCGGCCAGGTTTTTGGCTTCCGGTTATCTGCCGTTATTTCACTTATTTGCCATATGGGACATTTCAACCTGCTGCCACCAGCCGCTCACGTGTCAGTCTCGCTTTGCCTCTGGGTAAGTGAGGAAGCTTCTGCTCATTCGTCCAAACATTTCACTATAATATGGAGGGAGGGAGTGTAGCAGGGAGGCAGGGAGTGTAGCATGGAGGGAGGGAGTGTAGCAGGCAGGCAGGGAGTGTAGTAGGTAGGCAGGGTGTAGCAGGGAGTGTAGGAGGAAGGCAGGGAATGTAGCAGGCAAGCAGGGAGTGTAGTAGGGAGGCAGGGTGTATCAGGGAGTGTAGGAGGAAGGCAGGGAGTGTAGTAGGGAGGCAGGGAGTGTAGGAGGAAGGCAGGGAGTGTAGCAGGGAGGCAGGGTGTAGCAGGGAGTGTAGCAGGCAGGCAGGGAATGTAGTAGGGAGTGTAGGAGGAAGGCAGGGAATGTAGCAGGCAAGCAGGGATGTAGTAGGGAGGCAGGGCATAGCAGGGAGTGTAGGAGGAAGGCAGGGAGTGTAGCAGGGTGTAGCAGGGAGTGTAGCAGGCAGGCAGGGAATGTTAGCAGGCAGGCAGATGTATGGAGGAGGAAGGCAGGGAATGTAGCAGGCAAGCAGGGAGTGTAGTAGGGAGGCAGAGTGTAGCAGGGAGTGTAGGAGGAAGGCAAGGAGTGTAGCAGGCAGGCAGGGAGTGTAGGAGGAAGGCAGGGAATGTAGCAGCAAGCAGGGAGTGTAGTAGGGAGGCAGGGTGTAGCAGGGAGTGTAGCAGGCAAGCAGGGAGTGTAGTAGGGAGGCAGGGTGTAGCAGGGAGTGTAGCAGGCAAGCAGGGAGTGTAGGAGGAAGGCAGGGAGTGTAGCAGGGAGGCAGGATGTAGTAGGGAGTGTAGCAGGGAGGCAGGGTGTAGCAGGGAGTGTAGCAGGCAGGAAGGGAAGTAACCCCAGAGAGGGCTTTGATACCTGAAGTCCTTATGGAGGGGGATTCCCCTTCCAAACAATAATCAGTCCTCCCTCTTTCCTTCTCCGTCTTCCATAAGCCAACCAGAGTCTTCAATAAAGGTATGTAATAGTGATTTGAATGTTCATTTATTTATTTTATTTAGTTCTCATTGTTTTGTGTATGTAAAGCTATAATGAATCTTTAAAAAAATATATTTTTTGTTAATGTTTTTGGGTGTCTGGAATGGATTAATTGTACAGTGGACCCTTAACCAGCGATGGCATCGATTAACGATAAATCTGACTAGCAATACATTTTAACGCAAAAATTTTGCCTCAACTAGCGCTTAAAAACCCGACCAGCGCTATTCGGTCCATACGAGACGCGTCCACTTTGGCCTGAGCGCACTTCGCTTGTCCCTTGGGTGCCAGTGTTTACAAGCCAGCCAGCCACCGCGGTCGCTTCCAAACATACAACAACTGGAACATTTCATATTATCACAGCCTTTGTAGTGATTGCACCTGCAAAATAAGTCACCATGGGCCCCAAGAAAGCTTCTAGTGCCAACCCTACAGCAGAAAGGGTGAGAATTACTATGGAGATGAAGAAAGAGATCATTGCTAAGTATGAAAGTGGAGTGCGTGTCTCTGAGCTGGTCAGGTTGTATAATAAACCCCAATCACCCATCGCTACTATTGTGGGTAAGAAAACGGCAATCAAGGAAGCTGTTCTTGCCAAAGGTGCAGCTGCTGCTGCACCACAGTCAGCTGTTGTTGCTGCACCACCATCAGCTGTATTACTCGAAGATGTGGAGAGAGTGTTGTTGGTGTGGCTTAACGTGAAACAATTACCGAGAAACCATTAACCCCGGAGGTTAGCCACCCAGGATAACCCAAGAAAGTCAGTGCATCATCGAGGACTGTCTAACTTATTTCCATTGGGGGTCCTTAATCTTGTCCCCCAGGATGCGACCCACAACAGTTGACTAACACCCAGGTGAACAGGAAAAAATGCCAGGAACTAGTGCTCATATTGGTGAGGTTAGTGGGGAGGATGTGGAAGAGTTGGTGGAGGAGGACAATGAAGAACAAACCACTGATGAGCTGCTAGATCATCTTCAACAGTAAGAGGCCACACCTGAGGAAACTGCTTCGGAGGAGGGGAGAGAGAAATTGAAGAAGTTGCCTACTTCAAAGATTAAGGAAATGTGTGCAATGTGGCTTAAAGTGCAAACCTTTTTTGATGAAAATCACCCTCACACAGCTATTGCAAGCCGTGCTGGTGACTATTACACTGACAATGTTGTGAAACACTTTAGGATAAAGGAACGAGAGGTACAGGCCTCTATGGACAGATACGTTGTGCGACAGAAGTCCAGTGACTCTGAAGCTGGTCCTAGTGGCATTAAAAGAACAAGGGAAGTAACCCCAGAAAAAGACTTGCTACCTCAAGTGCTAATAGAAGGGGATTCCCCTTCTAAACACTAACAAGCTCAACGGGCTCCCCTCCTCCCATCCCATCAATCATCACTAGATCTTCAATAAAGGTAAGTGTCATGTAACTGTGCATGTCTTCTTCAGTTTGTGTGTATTAAAATTAATATTTCATGTGGTAAAAAAAAAAATTTTCAATACTTTGGGGTGTCTTGCACGGATTAATTTGATTTCCATTATTTCTTATGGGGAAAATTAACTTGACTAACGATTATTTCGATTAACGATGAGCTCTCAGGAACGGATTAATATTGCTGGTTGAGGGTCCACTGTATTTACATAAATTCTCATGAGAAATATTATTTCGGTTTTAGGCTGACCTTTTGGAACGGATTACGGCTGATAACCAAGGGTCCGCTGTACTTCCAATTCCTCTCTATTAGAAGCCCAGTGGCCAAAATGGCAGTGTTGGACTGTCAATTTATGGACTGCTGTTTGAGCCCCTTGTCCATCCTCTTGTATATTCATTGTATACAGTGTATATAACAAGTAATCTTGTGAATCAGGAAGTAGAAAAGTTCCTTCTGACCTATTTTTTCCTTATACGTTCCAAAGACCATAATTTTGTCTTTGTGCTTACCTCCTAACTGATTCAGGATGACAAGTTACAAGGTGTTAATGTTGCAGTTTAAAAACTGTAGTGTAAAGCACCCTTCTGGCAAGACAGTGATGGAGTGAATGATGGTGAAAGTTTTTCTTTTTCGGGCCACCCTGCCTTGGTGGGAATCGGCCAGTGTGATAATAAAATAAAAAAAGTTACGTACTGACACCAATAATGCTCTTTTCTGTCATGTTAGAGATCACAGTCTGGTCCTCTGCTAAAACTGTCTACCCTACTTCTGACTTTCACAGTCGCTGTCTTGTTGAATCATCCCTTATTCACATCTTTCCTTGTATGAATCTTACTCTTGCCTTTATCTCTGTAGATGCTTTCCTTTCTCCTTTCTCATTACATTGTCAGATGCTCTGAACGTCAGAACACATTTGACTAAACCTGATCCTTTCTTCTCCTCTTTCTGCTTCTTCTCCTTTCCTATTTTTCCTTTTTCTTTCTTTGTTTTTCCTTTCTTCTGCCTAAGGTTGTCCTGCCCTTCAGTTTCCCTCCCATCTCCATGTTTTTGTTCCTACGTCTTGTGGGCCCTTAGCTCTCCTGCAATGCTCCTGTTTCTTCTTTGACTGACCCCACTCCTACTACTTTTGCCACTGCCTTTACTTTTGTCTTCCTTCACCCTTCACTTCTCATTTCTATATCTTGTCCCACATAAACCACTCTCCCTACTTTATTCTACCACTACTACTGCTACTGCTTTCACTATCAGCCTTATCTCTATCACTACGACTTTTTCCTACCTTTCTTGGTCCTGTCCCTGTCTGCCCGCCTATACTGGCTCCCTCTATCTTTCATGTTAGCGTGACTTTCTAAATAGTTCAAGACAGACTGAAATGTCGTCATAAGCTGCTTCTCTCCAATGTTCGGGTTATTTGCGTATTTTTCTAGTCATGGGATTTGCAGTTTTGTTCTTCAGAACTAAACTTTATTATATGCTTTTCTTTTCACTTAAAGATTCAACATTGTTACCCAGTATGGAGAATATTCATTGCACATCAAGTTAACACTTGTTACACCTTTGAATTCACAGGTTCCGGAAGAGAATATTCTTGGACAATTAGGGCAAGGCTACAAATACGCCATTGAGATGCTCAATGAGGGCCGAATTGGTATTGGTGCTCAGATGGTAGGACTTGCACAAGGTTGCCTCGATTCTACTGTACCTTACATTCTCCAACGAAAGCAGTTTGGGAAGAGGCTTTTTGATTTTCAGGTATTGTACATTGTGCTTAATCTGATGTAATATGTAGAACAAAAATTCTGAGTGTTATAGTAGAGATCCCAGATGGTAGTATTCTAGTAGTATGTTCCCAATTTTATAGATGTCCTATCCTGCCTTATAGTAACCTTTTAGCATCTTATCATAACATTTTCTCTTGCTAATATACAATATGGTAATACTTGTAGCATTAGTATTAGATGACAGTTACAATTGTTAGATTCACACAGGTTAACAAGCAAATTTTATTAATGATGTGGGAATTGGCTTTCTGTTTTTGGTAATAAAATGTGTCCTCAGTTTTCCATTCTGGAAATTTAACCTAACCTTTAAAGAATCCTGAAATCTTTCGTACTATCCAACCATTTCAAGTTTTCCAGTCTCCTTTTTTCCACTCACACTAAATATTCCCTTGTGAATACAGTATTACTTATTTTGAACACCCCAGGTGTTTCAGATCACACTCATGAAGTTACCAAATTTTATATCCACGAAACTGCATTATAATGTTTAGTGACCGAATTCATGAATGTGTAAACTCAATACTGTTTTTCTGAATTCAGTAAATTTTACAAATTTCCATAGTAACTTAGCAAACACAAATGCTGGGTTTCAGTTCCTGGACTCATTATGTGCCTTAATTCTTTGACAAGTGTTGATTAATACATTAACCGAAGTGATGTCATTTATTAATACATTTCACTTGTGAGTACTTTTTCAGTACTGTACATAAAAAAAATGAAATACTAAAACCTTGAATAGTAATCTATGGTGCAAGAGTCAGGTGTATAAGTCAAACATGTCAAGGTTTAGGTTTAAGAGAGATATTGCAGGCAGTGTACCAGCCCACATTATACTTACTTTGTTCATAAACATTGTGCACTATAGGGGTTGCTACTGTGATCATCATTTGGTAGATGAAATCAATCACATCAGCAAAAATCAAACATTTCTGCTACTTTGACCTCAGTTTCAAGCCATTTTCAATACTATAACCAATCAAAATCATCTCAATGTCTGGAATATATCTTCCATTTTGTCAAATGAGACCAAGAAAGTGCAAATACAACTGTAAAAAAACATACGAAAAAACACTGCAAAGTTGCTGTTTTAATAAAAAAAATACGGTTGCAGTTTTTTTTCTAATGCACTGCGTGCTGCAAGATTTGTTTTATGTGGTGCATACTTACCACATAGATGTATTCATTCATATCTAGGCCCAAATTACTGCTCACAGCTTATCTGAGTGAGCTGAGTTCAAGCTGTAGAACTATGGCTTGGACCCTGGCTTCAAAGTCATAGAACTATGGGACAGACCCTCAAAGGGTTAAAAAGAGAAACTTCTGTTTTTTCTTTTAGGCCACCCTTGCCTTGGTGGGATACAGCCAGTTTGTTGAAAGAAGAACTTGATAAAGCCAATTTGTAGTGAAACATACCAATAAAGAGTACCCTGCAGTTAGTGTCTTACTCACCAGGATGACTGATCAAGTTCATATCTGTTATGTATTTGAAAAAGCCCATCTATGGGTATACAGTGGACCCCCGCATAACGATTACCTCCGAATGCGACCAATTATGTAAGTGTATTTATGTAAGTGCGTTTGTACGTGTATGTTTGGGGGTCTGAAATGGACTAATCTACTTCACAATATTCCTTATGGGAATAAATTCGGTCAGTACTGGCACCTGAACATACTTATGGAGTGAAAAAATATCGTTAACCGGGGGTCCACTGTACTTGTACCAACAAAGGACTTGAGAGCAATCAGTGTTTCTGTCACTACTTGTGGGTGTTATGCCTCCAGTTTGCACCGATCTTTTGCCTACTGCTCACAGGATGGATATGGGGGTTCATAATAAAGATATTAAACAAGATGTCAGCATATGTAAAATTTAGATAATTGTCTTGGAGATAAGCTACTTTATTTGTTACTTGAGATGTTTTATAAATTTTTGTTGAGAAAGTTTTAAGATAAGTAAACCTTTTACAGGCTATGCAGCATACTGTTGCTTATTTAGCAACAGAAATTGAAGCTGCTCGGTTACTGGTGTACAATTCTGCTAGACTGAAGGAGGCTGGTCATCCCTTTATAAAGCAGGCAGCCATGGCTAAACTATATAGTTCAGGTATGTCTTAGAAATTCCATGGGGAAGTGGAACAGAATCCTTCCTCCGTAAGCCATGCGTGGCGACTAAAATGCCGGGAGCAAGGGGCTAGTAACCCCTTCTCCTGTATATATTACTAAATGTAAAAGGAGAAACTTTCGTTTTTCCTTTTGGGCCACCCCACCTCCGTGGGATACGGCTGGTACGTTGAAAGAAGAAGAATGTCTTAGAAAATAATGTTTTTGTAGTCAATTAGATTACATTTTTTCTTATGCAGTTTACATTTTGAATAATTGCCATTGTTTGTTAGTGCATGTGAAATATTACAAATGGATTTGTTGGGACATCCTTCTATTTTTTCTTTATTTTAGGTGACTGCTTCCTAGTACCCTAACTAATTCACATCTTGTTTAACTTCACTGATCTTTGGTTTTCAGGATGGGCTAAAATACTGAATTAACCAAGATCCAGAGGGAAAAATGAGTGCCTCTCAGCTCTATGTTAATTTTCGGCACTTACCAGCTCTTTTCATAATTTATTATAATAGATTATGCTTAATGTCAAATATGTTTATTTTTTACATTTTTTGTTTTTTTACATAAAATCCATTTCTTTTATATTAACTTAAGAGTACACTTCTTTTTTCTCTTGAGACATTGAAGGCCTTTTTCTTTTTTTGTTATCTAATTACATGTTTGTGACAGTTACCCCTTAAACTGTCCAAAAGTGGATTTATGTTGTTACTGCTAGCATTTCAAATGTAAATCAACGTTTTATTTTTCCTGTCTTCAAATTTGGCATGATTGACCTAAGATGCCTGGTCAGTATAGAATGGGTCTTAATACTTGGTGGGTGCAGTATTAAAAAATCTGGGACCACTTAGTGCCTTGTGGGAGCACCAGTTCAATTGTGTGCCAGCTAGAGCAAGTGGCATAACAGACACCAGGGCTTCACTGATGCCATGTTGTATTAACACTTCCCTTTTAAGAGGAAAGTAATTATGACCCTGAGTTTAGTGGCTTTGAGATGGATGTGTCCACAAGTGGTTGAGGAAATATAAAAAAAAACGATAATAACCCATTTCTGGCATCATCCTGCCAGAATGCCCTATAACTATGCCCTAAGTAAAGAGAAACGATTCTGGAATGTGTAATACGTACTCGGCAGGCCGGCTGGCTAGGTAGGTGGCTGGCTGGCTGGCTGATTGACTTTGGCTATCTCTATCTCTGTCTATCTCTCTGTCTTTGTCTATCTCTGTCTCTGTCTCACAGGTACACATAAGTATGGTTATCATACATACAGCCTCTCCTCACTTAACAATGGAGATAGGGGCCTAAGACCCTGTCGGTAAACGATTTCGTTGCTAATCGAGGAATCGCCCCTTACAGATGCATGGCGAACTGATAAAGAAAATGCCTGGAACCAGTGCTGATGCTAGTGAATTTAAGGCCAGTAGAGGCTGGTTTGACAGATTTAAGAAGCGTAGTGGCATACATAGTGTGGTAAGGCTTGGGGGAAGCAGCAAGTTCAGACAAATGTGCTGCTGAAAACTTCATGAGTGAATTTGAGGGGTAGATAGAGACTGAAAAATTTAAACCCCAACAGTGTTCAATTGTGATGAAACAGGCCTGTTTTGGAAGAAAATGCCAAAGAGGACCTACATTACTCAGGAGGAAAAGGCACTGCCAGAACACAAGCCTATGAAAGACAGGCTCACTCTTTTGTTCTGTGCTAACACTAGTGCCAGCAAGTCTCTTCAATGAAGGTAAATAAATGTTATTTTAAATGTTTATTTAAATTTTAATTTATCTGTATAATATACATATACAGCAGGGCCCCGCTTTACGGCGTTTCACTTTACGGCGTTCCGCTAATATGGTCATTTCAAATTATGACCAAAACTCGCTATACGGCTCCCCCCACCTGACTTTCTAATACGGTCACCGCGCCCCACCTTGTTTGTTTACATTCTTCGTGAGCTCAGTAAGCACTAAGTCTCCAACATAGATCTACGTTCACTTGTATAGCGCTCCAAACGTAGATCTACATTTTTTTTGCATAAGAAAGCATGTAAAATAGAACATAGATCTACATTCGGAGTGCTACACAAGTGAACGTAGATCTACATTTGGACAGTTTAATGGTTAATTTTTTTTTTTTTTCTTTTTTTTTTCAAAAATATTCAGAGCTCTGACAGTGAAAAATATAGATTTATGTTTGGACAGTTTAAGGGTTTGGACAGTTCTAGGCTTATCACTACAATTTTTTTTTTTCTACAGAAGTGGCAACACGGGTCACCTCAAAATGTATTGAGTTAATGGGTGGTGTCGGCTTCACAAAAGATTATCCAGTCGAAAAATTTTACCGGGACTGCAAGATTGGTACAATTTATGAAGGGACATCTCACATACAGCTTAACACTATTGCAAAGCTTTTGGAAAAGGATTATATTTCATAGATCATTTGGTTGCACCTAGAATGAAAGAAACTGTGTGTAATTTGTTCTGTTTAGATAGAAACAAATGGTCTGCATAATATTCTACCCAAAAATTTTTTTCAGGAAATTCATTCCAAATATTCACTAGAAGAATTGCTGTGGCTTTAGAGTCTCATTCTTTGAATTGCTTACAGCTAAATCTTTAAAAAGATCATGTATGATAGACTGTAAAGTAGTTTGTATAGTGTAATATATATGAATTATATTTGTATTTTGTAGGAATTTATTTTAGGTTGTGTGAATCATAGATTCACACAACCATAATGTGAAATTAACAGTATTTGCCATGTAAATAATTAAAAAAAACTGATTGCTACACATATTTTCAAAATTGAGGAACCATGTGCTAGACCTGTAAGAGTCAGACAGTTCCTGGGAACTGGAAGGTAATCAGGTTGGCATAAGTAATCTTTCATATGAAAATAGATTGAAAACCTTGAATCTGCACTTTCTTGAAAGTTGTAGAGTGAGAGGAGACATGATTGAAGTATACAAGTGGAAGACTTATAAATGCAATATAAATGGAATACTAAGGATTTCCAGTTAATAGAAAAATCAAAATAACATATAATTGGATAAATTTTGATTTGGTAAGAACATAAGAACGAAGGAACACTGCAGCAGGCCTACTGGCCCATGCGAGGCAGGTCCAAGTTTCCAAGTTGACTTAAGGGAGGAACACGGCAACCGTCCTGGTAGCACAAGCTAATCAGGTCCAACTCACACCCACTCATGTATTTATCCAACCTATTTTTAAAGCTACACAATGTTCTGGCCTCTATGACTGTACTTGGGAGTTTGTTCCACTCATCCACAACTCTATTACCAAACCAGTACTTTCCTATATCCTTCCTGAATCTGAATTTTTCTAACTTAAAACCATTGCTGCGAGTCCTGTCTAGGCTAGATATTTTCAGCACACTATTTACATCCCTTTATTTATTCCTGTCTTCCATTTATACACCTCAATCATATCCCCCCTAATTCTACGTCTTTCTAGAGAGTGTAGATTCAGGGCCCTTAGTCTATCCTCATAGGGAAGGTTTCTGATACATGGGATCAACTTTGTCATCCTCCTTTGTACATTTTCCAGAGCATTTATATCCATTCTGTAATACGGTGGCCAAAACTGTGCAGCATAATCTAAATGAGGCCTAACCAAGGATGTATAGAGTTGAAGAACAACCTGAGGACTCCTATTATTTATGCTTCTTGATATGAAGCCAAGGATTCTATTAGCTTTATTGCGAACACTTATGCACTATTGTCTTGGTTTCAGATTACTGCTAATCAGAACTCCTAAATCTTTTTCGCAATCCGTAATATTAAGATCTACATTATTTAGTTTATATGTGGCATGGTTATTGTCCTGTCCAACATTTAGAACTTTGCATTTGTCTATATTAAACTGCATCTGCCACCTCTCCGACCACTGCATCAGTCTACTCAAATCTTCCTGGAGTGCTCTAATGTCCTCTTCAGAGTGTAGGAGAGTACTGGCTAAGCAATAGATCTGCCTGATGAGTGAAACAATCTGCCACAGTCATTGGAGCTACAGCCTTGGGTGGCTTAAATAGGTTAGACAAATATATGAGTGAGAAGGGGTTGGATTTGAATCAGACCTTTCTAAAATGAGTTATTGAAGGTAAGTCCTTGGGAAGCTTCAGGAATAGTTTAGACAAATATGTTGGTGAGAAGAGTTGGATTTGGAAAGGACCTGCCAAGTATGAGCCAGTAGACCTGTGTTTGATCCAAGGAAGGGGATGGTAGCTCCAGTTCCTTGGATTCAAGAGCTGTCACCAGCTTCAAGGCACCTTTCATCGCTGGGACCATGTTTTGTAAAAGTTGGTATAAACCTTTGGTAATAAACACCAAGTTGGTTTAGAAAGACACATAAGCAAATACTAGGATATATTTATTAGAAAATGTTTTGGTCCTGGGACCTTGATCACTTCTAACATAGAGAGGTTAAAAAGACAGTATATGTAGGCGGTGCATTGCAACCACCTACCCAATGACACAGGAGCCTCATGATCTCATTGTCTACCTGTTTTCATCCCAATATGTCATTCTTCAGGTCACCATACGTCACACCTCACTCTCTGCCTATATATACTTAATTTTTAACCTCTGTATGTTAGAAGTGATCAAGTCCCAGGACCGAAACATTTTCTAATAAATATGCCCTAGTGTTTGCTTACATGTTTTTCTACACCAGTATAAAAGTTATTTATTAGGGACTTTCTATAACCTTTATTTGGTTGACATCTGAAATATAATGTCTGTATTTTTTTTTTTTTTTATTTATTTATTTATTATCACACTGGCCGATTCCTACCAAGGCAGGGTGGCCCGAAAAAGAAAAACTTTCACCATCATTCACTCCATCACTCCAGCACCCAGAAGGGTGCTTTACACTACAGTTTTTAAACTGCAACATTAACACCCCTCCTTCAGAGTGCAGGCACTGTACTTCTCATCTCCAGGACTCAAGTCCAGCCTGCCGGTTTCCCTGAACCCCTTCATAAATGCTACTATTTGTATTACAGAAATTAATTGAATTGTGTATTATGTCTTGTAAATAATTGATTTATTAGTAACCATAATTTTAGTTTTGCTTTAAATTGTCAGAAATTTTGTTTATTGTATAGAAGTATGATATACATTATACTGGTATTGTGCATTGACATTTTCTCATTTTCCTATAGTTATTTTACAGTTTAAATTAATCCTTGATTTTATTTTTATTTGAATCGAGTCAGAGGGATATCTATTCACTGATGATACAAACAGATGAGGACAGGGAAAGGTTTCAAAAGAATCTGGACTATCTCCAGGGTTGATCAGATAAGTGGTTGCTTGAGTTCCACTCCAGCATATGCAGTGTAATGAAGATTGGGGAAGGAGCTAGAAGACCACACACAGGGTATAGACTCAGGGGGACAGAGGCTACCATTCTCATTTAGAGAGGACATGGGAGTAAGCATAGTGCCTGCCATATCACCAGAGGCTCACATCAACCAATTAACCTCTATAGCCAGTGCTTACCTGGCAGATCTGAGAATGGCCTTCAGGAATCTCAGCAAAGAGTGATTCCAGCTGCTTTATACAACATAGGACGATCTTGGAATTTGCAGCACTAGTATGGGGCCCACACCTGACAAAGCATGTTGAGAAACTGGAGAAGGTACAGAAGTATGTAGTGAGACTAGTTCCAGAGCTAATGGATATGAGCTGTTACAAGGAAAGGCTAAAATAATTTAATTCTAAAGATCCTAGAGAACAGATGGACCAGGGGAGACTTAACAGCATACAAAATACTCGGAGGAATTAATAGGGCAGACAGGGACAGGCTGTTGGAGAAGTGGGAAACAGATACTTTGGAGCTCAGTTGGAGGCTAAAAACAGATGAGTCACAGGGATGTCATGAAGTATTTCTTCAATCTCACGGTGGTCAGGAAGTGGAATGACCTCACTGAGGACGTGATGGAGGCAGACTCTATGCATAGTTTCAAGAATAGTTACAATAGGGCCCACAGGGGTAGGAGAGAGAATTAATTTGGCAACCAGCAACTTGGGATGCATGGCCAGGAGTTAAGGCCTGTTCCCTGCAATCCCAGTAGGTGAGTACTGGTTATGCCATTGAACAATGAAACAATTTTCATGTTTTTTTTTGTGATGGAAATTTAATTTTGAGAACCCACTAGAGAAATAGTCTTATTTTTTCTTAGTGTCAGTTGATAGTGAACACACATGTAAATATAAATAACCTTATTCCTAGTTTTTTTTTTTTTTTTTTTTTTTTTTTAACACAGCAGTTTACCACCGAGGCATGGTGACCCAAAAAGAAAGAAAAAACTTTCATCATCATTCAACGCTTTCACCATCATTCATACATAATCACTGTCTTTGCAGAGGTGCTCAGATATGATAGTTTAGACATCCCTCCAAACTGCCAATATCCTAAACCCCTCCTTGAAAGTGCAGGCATTGTACTTCCCATTTCCCGGACTCAAGTCCAGCTAACTGGTTTCCCTGAATCCCTTCACAAAATATTACCCTAATCACACTCCAACAGCTCATCAGGTCCTAAAAAGCCATTCGTCTCCATTCACTCCTATCTAACACACTCATGTACACTTGCTGCAATTCCAAGACCTTTGCCCACAAAACTTCCTTTACCCCCTCCCTCCAACCTTTTTGGGGATGACTCCTACTCAGCCTTCTACCCCAATAGATTTATACGCTCTCCAAGTCATTCTACTTTGTTCTATTCTCTCTAAATGACCAAACCACCTCAACAGCCCCTCTTCAGCCCTCTGACTAATACTTTTAGTAACTCTACGCCTCCTAATTTCCACACTATGAAGTCTCTGTATAATATTTACACCACACATTGCCCTTAGACACATGTCCACTGCCTCCAGCCACTCCTCGTTACAGCATTTACAACCCATGCTTCACACCCATATAAGTGTTGGTACCACTATACTCTCATACATTCCCTTCTTTGCCTCCATGGATAATGTTCTTTGTCTCCAGATACCTCAGTGCACCACTCACCTTTTTTCCGTCATCAATTCTATGGTTAACCTCATCCTTCATAACCCATCCATTGACCAGTCAACTCCCAAATATCCGAAAACATTCACTTCTTCCATACTCCCTCTCTCCAATGTGATATCCAATTTTTCTTTATCTACATTATTTGATACCCTCATCAACTTAGCGTTCACTTTCAACTTTCTACCTTTACATACCTTCCCAAACTTGTCCATTAACCTTTGCAACTTTTCTTTAGAATCTCCCATAACCACAGTATCATCAGCAAAAAGTAAATAACAAAAAAAGGCACAATACCGTGACTGGAACGATACACAAATAACCCGCACATAAAAGAGAGAAGCTTACGACGACGTTTCGGTCCAACTTGGACCATTTACAAAGCCACACTAACCAGAAGTAGAGCAGGACGGCTATATATAGGCAGGAAGAGGTGGTGGTAGTAGTAGTAGTAGTACAAGAATGGTATATAATACCGACGAGATGAAATTAAGACACATGCGCAACACCCGGGAATCCCTATTGTAGACGTTTCGCTATCAAGCCAGCCACTGGATGCCGAAACATCCACAACAAAGACAACCAGACGCCGCGCATGTGTCTTAATTTCATCAGTAGTAGTAGTAGTAGTAGAAGAGGTAGTAGTAGTGGTAGTGGTAGAAGTGGGGAATAAGGAGGACGAGCCAGTCAAATACAAAGGAAGGGGAGCACTGCAAGAGAGCTAGGTGCCCACAGAGGGAGAGCAAGCGCACAGAGGTGCGTGAAAGGGGAAGTGGTGAAATAAATGGAGAAGGAGCAGAAACACGAGACAGAAGAGAGAAAGACAACCCAGAGGAGAAAAAGGAAAGAGGAAAGGGGAAGAGGGAGAAGAAGAAAAAGAAAAAGAAAAAATGAGGAGTCAGGTTAAGTCACGGGTGTTCTGAAGTTTGGAGCATTTTACAATGTAGTGGGAGAGGAAGGCATCTACAGAGACGAAGCCAGGGCTAAGATTCATGCAAGGAAAGTTGTGTATTAGAGAGGATTCAACTAGACGGCGACTGTTCGAGTTGGAAGTAGGGAAGACAGTTTTAGCAGAAGACCAGTCAATAGGATGGCTATGATCTCTGACGTGACAAAAAGTGCATTGTTATGTCCGGCAAGCTACACTATTTTGTCTCCTAATCTGTCACGAAAGAGATCATACCATCTCGAAGTATTAAACGACTAGTGTCTCTCTGAACATCTTAAAAGCTGTCTATGAACCTTAGCGGTTTCTCGGTAAGCTGAATTCTAGTCGAGTTTATATTGAATCCAATGTCAGAAGCCAACTTTCTAAATCCAGATAACTTGAGCGTACCCTGAGTCTTTGGTCGCACTTGAGAATTCTGCCTATCCTCTTCCACCTCCTCTACAATTTCTGGTTATCTATTTCTTGCTCTCTGTCCTTTCAATACTTCAGAACTCACCTTCACGACTTGGCATGTGTTACCTGACACTACAATGCTCCTCACTTCATTCTATTGACTGTCTTCTCTCTTTTCCTCTCCACTCAACTCACCTCTTCCCTCTATACACAACTTCCTTATTGAATTCCTCTTGTCTCTGTAGATCTTTTCCCATCATGCTCTACTGAAACGTATCGGTTGTCCATTTTTCTTTTCTTCTCTTCTCTTCTTCTCACCTCGGTGCCTCTTCTCTGTTTCTGTCCTTCTTCATTTATTTCACCACTTCCCTTTCACGCACCTCTGTGCGCTTGCTCTCCCTCTGTGGGCACCTAGCTCTCTTGCAGTGCTCCCCTTCCTTTGTATTTGACTGGCTCGTCCTCCTTATTCCCCACTTCTACCACTACCACCACTACTACTACCTCTTCTGCTACTACTACTACTACTACTACTACTACTACTGATGAAATTAAGACACGTGCGGCGTCTGGTTGTCTTTGTTGTGGACGTTTCGCCATCCAGTGGCTGGCTTGATGGCGAAACGTCTATGATAGGGATGCCCGGGTGTTGCGCATGTGTCTTAATTTCATCTTGTCGGTATTATATACCATTCTCATATCTACTACTACTACTACTACTACCACCACCTCTTCCTGCCTATATATATAGCCGTCCTGCTCCACTTCTGGTTAGTGTGACTTTGTAAATGGTCCAAGTCGGACCGAAACGTCGTCGTAAGCTTCTCTCTTTTATGTGCGGGTTATTTGTGTAGCAAAAAGTAACTGTGTCAACTCCCATTTTGTATTTGATTCTCCATAATTTAATCCCACCCCTCTCCCGAACACCCTAGCATTTACTTCTTTTACAACCCTATAATAAATATATTAAACACCCATGATGACAATACACATCCCTGTCTAAGACCTACTTTTACTGGAAAGTAACCTCCCTCTCTTCTATACACCCTAACCTGAGCCTCACTATCCTCATAAAGACTCTCTACAGCATTTAGTAACTTACTACCTATTCCATACACTTGCAACATCTACCACATTACACTAAGTGCCCCCTTCAAGGCAGGTGAAATTGCTGATCTGGAGAGTGTGCATAGAACTTTCACAGCACACATAAATTATTGGGAATGGTTGAAGTCCCTTGATTTGTATTCCCCTGGAACACAGGTGAGAAAGATACATGATAATATACACATGGAAAATCCTAGTGGGACTAGTACCAAACTTTCACATGAAAATTACTCCCTATGAAAGCAAAAGATTCGGCAGGAGATGCAACTTTCCCTCGATGAAAAGCAGGGATGCCACGAGTACACTGAGAGACAACATAAGTATCAGGGGCCCAAGATTGTTCAACTGCCTTCCAGCACACACAAGGGGGATTACCAATAGATCCCTGGCTGTCTTCAAGAAGGCGCTGGACAGGCACCTAAAGTCAGTACCTGACCAGCCGGGCTGTGATTTGTACGTCAGTTTGCAGGCGACCAACAGTAACAGCCTGGTTGACCAGACAGACCCTGATCCACCACAAGGCCTGGTCTCAGACCAGGCTGTGGGGGCATTGACCCCTGAAACCCTCTCCAGATATACTCCAGGTGTGGCCTTTGAAAGTGAAATTCTCTGACATTATCACTCTCAGGTCCTTCACATTAGTTTTTCACTCTGTTGTGTGGTTGGAATTTGTTTT